ATTAGAACCGTAAAATGGTTATGGGTGAACATTCATCATATCTATATTGCTCATCAGTAGATAAATTGCATGCACATCCTTCAACTGATGTTCACACTCATACAAATATTACAGTAACAGGTGATGTATTTATTCATTGAATCATTCCTTCGCCTTTCTAAGGTGAGATTAATGATAACAGTCTTCTCAATTGCACTCGCAAACATATTTATGAACACGGGTTTTAACTCTACAAAGATCTGCACAAAATCATTTGAAAATTCAACATATCACTTTAAAGTGGATGAGGTAAACTGCTAACAAACTAGCAAAATAACAATGCACCATTGCCTCCCATATTGCTCCCATATTGCTACATGTCACTTTGAATTGGACTAGGTGCTGTGTCAGATCACCATTGTCATTAACCCTTTAGAAACGACACTTGGTCATACTTTGTCGGATAGAGGCGAACTTTATTCATTAGTTTTTTTGCATGATCCGAAACTATGACAGTTTTGATCTTGTCATTGATAATAATTTCAAACTATACAACTGTCATAAGCTCAGATGTGCTCACCACGTTTTGTGAGGTAAGCTGATGGAATAGATGATTAGTTTCATTTACACCTTAGATGCTCCCCATATTCCTGAGATTTGTGGTATTGGATGATTTAGGGAATTAACAGGAGCACTACTTGATGCATTATTATTGATGGGCGGAACTAGGGATGTCAATATTTGCCACGACCCGAAAATCCGACTCGAATCCGACCCAAAAATTTCAGGTTAGGGTCAACCCGAACCCGAAACGGGTCGGGTTCGGGTTCATCATTTCGACCCGTTTCAAAAATCAAGTCGGGTTCGGGTTCACCCTTTGACCCGAAATTGACCCGAAAGTGACCCGATTTTGACCCGAAAATCCGATTTTGACCCGACAACCCGAGATTGACCCGTTTTTTACCCGAAAAGAGGAGATTGACCCGTTTTTTACTCGAAAATTAGCCATTTTTTTGGTTGGAAACGGATCATTCGGATCGTGTTGGGTTGACCCGGACCCAAAGCGAGTCGGGTTCGGGTCCGGATAACCGGCCCGTTTTTAAAAACGGGTCGGGTTCAGGTTGACCCGAATAGTGCCGGGTCAGTTTCGGGTTCGACCCGAACCTGACCAGTGACCCGAAATTGACACCCCTAGGCGGAACAAGGACTACGTTCGCAACAATAGTTCTTTATATAATCTACATCATTGCAATCATTTACGTCATCATCTCAGTCATCTTGACATTTAACTGAGAAATTTTTATCCTTCAATCTCATTTGGACTTTATTTAGCTTTCTGCTTGTGTCAACTTAGTAGCGTATGCAAACAAAGGATTTTTTTTTAATTCCTCCACTTCATCATCCAACGGAATTGTGCCCTCAAATCGAATACAATGAGCTTGATCTTCATGGGGATTTGTAGTTCTAGCTGTGTGGATCCAACACTATGATGTCATTGATAAATTTGCAATGGAGACGACTCAATATTATGCCCCACCACATAGATCACTTCAACTATCATGATCTCTTCATCATCATCATCATCTTCTGCTTCTTCTTCTTGAAAATTGTTCTTCAAGCAACAGCTCCACTAGATCTTCAGCTCATTATTCATTGCGAAAAAGTCCTCATTCAAACAAGTTCGTAAGCCGACGCACTCATTATTTGTCATTTTTGTTGTTCGCCTGAGCTTCGAACGAATGGCGCATATTTGATAATTTTGGCTTTCCAAATGGATCGGTGCTAGCCATTTTGCAAGCCAACAACGTCTCGAGTGATTTCATGCAATTTCGTGGCACGTCAAAACTTCCTCGCACAATGGCACATTGGTCAACTACCTTTCTTGTCGGACGCATCAGAAAAAATAGATAAATTTTAGGGTTCAACAGTATCATCAGACTAAACTGAAGTGCCTAAAACTGACGATCATAGCTGGAGTCTAAGATTGCCTCCACAACTTAAATTAATCGCATAAAAATAGCAAAAGGCCAGCAAGTTAAATAAGAACTGCATCCTGAGTTTGGGTCTGCCTTCTGGCCAGATATTGCAAGGAAGCAAGGCCAGAACAATGCTTCTATAGCTTTTCCTTTTGTTTATTTTTTTCATTCAATTCTTCCAATGATGATGAACTACTAGTTCATTAAAGTATTATGTTCATAAAAAAATTAAAGAAGAGCTAACCTATTTTCATGATATTTCAATATAGTGGCAACATATTTTCATGATATTTCAATATAGTGGCATAAGAATAAAAGCATTAAGCAGGCACATATCAGCATATCATTACAAAGAATGATAATATGCAGCCACTAACCAGCTGACCATTAAAAACAAGGAAACTATGCAATGTATTACATATACTCGGTAAGACCGGCAATTTGAAACCGTGACCACAACAACCGTGAAAAGTACAGAAAGGCATTGACTATTTGCTTTCTCAACAGTGAAAACACTTCCTGTTCCCATTATGTATAAGGGAAAAAAGTGATTATTTTTTTTATGCTTCAGTTTACCATCTTGGTTCTATTTTGACTACTTATCCCATAGCAAACAAATGCATAAATAAACAAACCAAAATACTTTAATGTATTCACACAGCTGCCCAAACCAGAAAGAAGAGAAGTGACAACTTTCATGCGGACATAAGAAAACGCAAATACATAAAATGAAGGCATATAAAAGGAGAGTAGGCATGCATATCAGTAGAAACCTAAAATGCAACTGGGCAGTAGTTTGTATGTTTGTTAATCCATGACAATAAAAACCCCTAAGGTTCAGGAAGTTTAGTTACCACATAAATCTACAGTAGAGTTCGTCAACCATGGCATAGGCAAGTAACTTAAGGATGTCTAAAAACTACTTTCTAAGAAAAAAATAGGTTTAACATAAGAATATATATTCCGTAAGAAGATGGAAAGTTAGTTAGGACTATCTAATATATAGAAATATAAACAAAAGAATGAAACAACTTTTCAACCAACTGTCATCAACATGCATGACAAATACAACCATTCATTAATATCCAACATGACGAGCTGCTCAATTTTGAAATCGCATATAATTCTGGCAATTTTTTTCTACTGTGACTAGGTTTTAAAACATAACTTGACATGCTGGCAAAATCCTTCTATGCTAATAGAATTTCTATATCTCACCATCTTCAGCTTTAATTGCTCTTCCTCATAAGCAGTCAATATCTTTTGCTGATGTACTTAACAAAATGTCCCTGAGAACCTAGACTTGACTTTTTATTCTCTAAGGGATCAGAGAAAAGAATATTTAGGGCGCTAATAAAGGGTCAATTTTTAACTTCGAAAAGGCTGATGTTTATGTATCAGGAAACCCTTAAAGGTCTTCATTCTTTCAAGCTTGTTTAGACCTTTGTGTCTCTAACACTTTGAGCCTTGGGGTTCAGCTCTTTTAACTCCTAGGTCTTCAGCAGCCTACACTACCACCTTGAACCAAGGTTGTTCACCCAATGGGAGACCTCAAACATTAATGTTTGAAATATTCTTAATTGAGATCCCACATCTAAGCAATCCCACATCTAAGACATTGAATCAAGGAGGCATAGAAGTAGAATGAATGAAATAATTGAAGCCCTATTAAAAGACTTTAGGCATGAAACTTTTGAAAATAAAAAAATAGTGGAACTTGTGATTTCGTCCATCTTGTTTCCATCATTGGTCCCTAAGGAACAAGTTCAATTAGCCCTTGACTCGGAGCAAACGAAATAGACCAACCAGCCTATCATTTGGCAGGCCAAACCATGCTCAACAGTTTCTCTAAGGGTGATCTCCTACATAGGAGTGGTGAACTCGGGCACTTTTCGATGCCATTGGAAGGCAGAGAATGCGACAGTTGGCATCCACAGCCAAAAGGCCGTTCAGATGAGTGGCAAGTTGGCCAATAGTGGTGGCATAAAAAGCCAACAATGGCAAACAAATGTGATCCATAAAAGGGGAATTGCTTTTAATGTCATTCCAATGAAGATGGGTACCCTTGTCACGCTTCAAAATTAGGGGGAGCACCCTGCATTCCCAGAAGCATGACAAACCTAGACAGAAATGAGTTTTGAAATGAAGCATACTTGCCCAGAAAAATAAAATCCAAGCGGAGGTTTCTAAATTTTTATTGTTGATGACTAGGTCACTGAACGCATTTGATGCCAATAATCAAAATAAAAGACAATTAGGGGGAGCACCACTGCACTCCCAGAAGCATGACAAACCTAGAAAGAAATGAGTTTTGAAATGAAGCATACTTGCCCAGAAAAATGAAATCCAAGCGGAGCTTTCTAAATTTTTATTGTTGATGACTAGGTCGCATCTGATGCCAATAATCAAAATAAAAGACAAAATTAGGGGGAGCACCACTGCACTCCCAGAAACATGACAAACCTAGACAGAAATGAGTTATGAAATGAAGCATACTTGCCCAGAAAAATGAAATCCAAGCAGAGGTTTCTAAATTTTTATTGTTGATGACTAGGTCACTCAACGCATTTGATGCCAATAATCAAAATAAAAGAAGTGGCAAGTACACTAGAGATTGCCAATTTTGGCTAGGTTGACAGAGTTAGGCTGGGTATGAGTCATCTGATTCAGTCTGGATCACTGTTGTTGGGGAAATTTGAGATCCATGCTAGTTCATCTTGAAATTTACACCAACCTTGGGATCCATATAAATCCATATAGGGTTTTTATGAACCACCAAATAATAACAACTCCATCAAAAGAAGCCTTGTGCCAGACTTCATGATGCAAACATTCACACAACCAAGTAGCAACAATAATAACAGCACACACAAGAAGAAGAGGACAATAGAGAAATTTAGCTATTCAGCTTCACTAATATTAGAAATGACCTTTTCTTATTAGATTTAAATGAGAGTTTTGACTCTTAACAAGGCACATTGGAGAAAAATGATTCATATAACCGACCCCACGTAGTGGGATAAAAGCTTTTTGTTGTTGTTGTACCTTCACTGATCTCCAGTGGGAATTTGGCCATCGGACAGGATCCAAATCACTTATTCCTGTTATAGTCCCCATATACCTGGATGAAACACATTAATTCAATTACAAGAACTATTTCCAACATGTAAATGTATACAGGGAACTGCAACATTAATTTACTAGCCCCAAAACTAACATGAGCACATAAAACATCAAAATAATCATAAAACCATACAAGAAATTTAACATATTGAATTCATTAAGAAAAAAACAGGTAAAAAAGTACAAAAGGAATGCTATTTGGCCATGCCGTTAAGAAATACTGGACCTAAAGCAGTACAATCAATATCAAGCATTAGGTTTCCCAATAAGTTTGCAAGCAAATGCAGAGAAACAATAGAAGAAAAATATACGGAATACTGGTTCATCACACCAACCCACCTAGCCACGCACATATAAGCACGCATGCACCCATAAAACAATGTGCTAGCCCACCTGCACATGCACTCTCAGACAACAAAAGGCAAACATATATGATTTCACATGCACAACCAAATGCATATATGCGTGCAAATATATGCACTTAAACATGAATACACACACAAGCACACACTCCACAATGGACATCCTTGCTCGCATTCACAAATTTGCACACATAAAAGTGCAGTAATGCACACCAGTTCATGCCTGGCAATAGCACATAATAAACCAAAGCAATAAAGAAAAAACAACCTTAAGAGAGGGAAAAAAAATCATTTTAGGTACAATTCAAACTTCTGAGGGTAAAACCATATAAAATCAACAACAGAACATTATCAACATTCATCCCGCATGTTTTAAAAGTGTATTTTCCATAAAAGGCCATAATGAATGTAGAAAACTAAATCCAAAAGATTTAGAATATAGGATAAAGATCTGGAACTATCAAGGGAATACTTAAACGTGAAGCACATAAAATAGACTGGCATCAACAATGGTGCCAATTATAAAACAGTAGAAGTTCAAATAATACAATGTAATGCACACAAGTCATGGAAGTGATATCTTTGAGCAAAAAGTCATTAACCACGAGAATAATGTATTTATTTGGTGGCTTTTGATTAAACAAAATTAACTTACCTACGAACACTTGACTCTTCAGTCTCGAAAAGCATCCTAAATCGCATGCCAACTGAGACACGAGTGTGAAACACAGCCTTAACATATTTTGAGAGTGGTATCACAAACTCTGAAGGACAAGCCCTAAATAAATTTAACATTAGCACAAATGTAAGTAAAATATCATAACAAAGTAGTGGCTTTCATTCATCTTACCTTGGGTGGTAAAAAATGGTGAAACGGCTATTTGTTGCAGCAGCATGAGCTGCTGCAGCAAGCAGTCCAATATGCATACTATCACTTGATATAACTGATGAAGGTACAGCATTTTGTGGTCGATTAGCCCGTCGGATTCCCAACAAAAGCTGATTTTTCTCATTCCTATAAATCACATTCAGTGAGATCAAACCTCAACTTCGATATTTCACATGAAACGAAAGTTTTAAGCGCTAACCATATAAATAAAACAGAATCACCAGCAACAAGTCTCTTAGCACTGACAAAGATACTCCAGCCTGTAGTGAGAAGATGCCTCTTGGGTTGTCCTGCAAACGTTCGGAACTAAAATATGAAAATTCATATGCCAGCCATTAAGAAAATTATAATATGCATTTGCATTGTTCTCAATTTGCACTGAATTGCAGAAACGGATGATCTGGAGATCATGAAATCTCCCTCCCTTCCTCCCTGCTTCATGCCAAAGCAGTGCCAATGCAATGAAAATGATGTTAACGCCTTGATGCCTAAACAATATTTTGCTGGTCTGTGAAATTCCATGTCACACAATAGATATTATATGCAGATGATCAACTTTTATAATCCAGTATAAAATAGACAACTAAAAACCATGCGACAAGCAACGCAACTTATAGTAAAAAATTTAAATATTGTGTAAAAATTTAAATGGACAACTAAAAAGCCACTAACATGTAAAGATCCTCATGAAAAAGCAAGAAATTAAAAAAATTAACATGTTTTAATGAATCAATCATATCAAATTTTGAAATTTCTTACATAAAATGAGACATTTAGAAAAATAGCTAAATAAGATACAACTACAAAATAATAAAATACAAGCTTAATGTTATAATGAAAATGAATAACTTTAATAAACAAGAGATTCAAACCAAAGCTCAAAAGCAAAATAAAAAAGGATAGGAAGGTGAATAGGAGGGAAAAAGAGGTTACCTAACTTCAAAGTTTTATGAAAAGAATGGAAGACACATGCTTTCTCTGTTCCTACCATAATAGGAATATGAAGAAATCCATACAATGTAGTTTATAATAACCCAGCAGGATCCTAAAAAAATAGTGACCTAACTTTAATGAATCATAGTTCTTGGGTTAAAATCCTGCTTAGCAAAATCACATAAGCTTCAATGATGTAGCAAATGCTAACATTAGAGAGAGGCCCTATTTCACAAATTTAATTTCTATTATTATGCACATTGTACTATTTTGGTGATCGTCTGTCTATATGCATCCAATCTGATGCAAAATAAAATGCAGGTAAATGTATTGGTGATCCTAATCAAGAAGTAAAACAAAGTGAATATAGATATTTTTTATCACAATTGATGTTAATTCAAACAGAATTTTACTTCTCGAACAGATGCTTTCCAAATAATTTTGGGTGATCTCAAATAGTTGTATCAAGATGAAATAATTGCATCAACTAATACTTAAAAATAAAAAATTAGAAAAGCAAAAACCAACGTTTAAAGAGGCAAAATCAGGAAATGAAGCATTTTTCCTTAGCCAGATGTGGTGTAAGCCTCAAGTAAGCTGTGAGGTAAATCGAGGCATAAGCCCCATAATATAAAAATAAAAAGACTAAAAAAAAAAAAATAATAATTCATAATTATGCCATAAAACATTAACAAAATCATTTAGTTCATCATCATAAACCACAAAATCACACAATTAAAAAAAGGAAATCTTAATCTAAAGCAAAAGTGTGAAAAAGATTAAAAGTAAGCACACGTTTAAAATTTAAATAAGCCATAAGAATCAAGATCCACATCACAGTGACAAATCTTGCTCGCAGTTAGGGGTGCAAACGAGTCGAGTCGAGCTCGAGCCAAGGGTTTTTCGAGTCGAGCTCGTCGTCCCAACCAGGCTAGCCCAGCTAGCAGCATGCGAGCTCTGAGTCCCGAGCAACGTCATTGAGCTCGATCATCTTGAGTTCCACCGTCGAGCAACACGCGAACTCCGTCGTCATTTCTAGTTCCGTCGTCGACAAAACTCAGTTGCTTTGATTTTCCCGCCCGTTTTCGATTCGTCTTCCCGTCCACCCAAATTGAGTTTCGTTTTCCCACCCGATCACCTCCGCGAGCTGCTCGTCGAGCAAACGAGTCGAGCAGAGCTCTGTTCGAGCTCGAGCTCAACAAGCCCTCAAGCTCGAAATCGTGTTCAAGCTAGACTCGCGAGCTCGATAAGCTCGATTCGTCAAGCCTGTTACCGAGTTGAGTCCAAGCCGGCTCGCGAGTCGATTTGACTCGGTTACACCCTTACTCGCAATCGACCACTTGCATGCAATCGCAGCCCTCCCCCTTCACTTACCTTCACCTCCCCGTTGTGCTTCCTGACGCTCACAGAATCCTCACTCAGTTACTACTTGTCAAACTGCAACCCTCTTTCTCTCTTCGCCCAACTCTTTGTAATTATAACCTAAAAATTTTAAAGGGGTATAAATTATAGTAAGCATATTATATAACAAAAGGTTTATTTATTTTTTATTAAGTGTTAATTTGAGGCTTGGCCTCAAACAACTCAAGGAATAAAGCCTTGTGGCATACGTCTCAAACAAACAAAGTGCAAGACTTACTAAGACCATAATGGTGTAAGCCTCTTTCAAGACACCTCATGGCAGGCGCATCTCCAGGTGTGCACCTCAAATGCCTTTTTAAACCATAGTGAAAAATTGTTCTCACATCAACCTAATTAATGGAAATACAAAAAGCTTTGACAAATTTATTTGAACAGCTCCTTTTGACCTTGATTTTATTTAGCGAGCATACACAAGAGCCTTTTTCTTAAATATATAGACGAGTTTTAGTTTGCTAAATCAAATTAAAACATACAATACATGAATGTACCCTGACCTCTAAAACTCAGAACTTATATCTCCCATCAACACTATGTACTCCAACACTCCCACTAAGCTAGACACCATGCCACCTCTTTCTTCGTTCCTACTCCCGGTCTTTCACGTTCTCTAACTTTTTCAAACTCATACTCTTTGACATCTTCAACAATGTTCCATTCATCATATTTTTAATCCTTGGAGTGTGGATAAAAGGACTAACATGATCTCTTGACTTTTTATGAAGGACCAAAATGATCGTCAACTATATGAAAGGAATATTTTGGTCCCTCAACTCTTTAAAAAGGAACTAAAATAGTCCCACCATAAGTCTATTTTAGGTCCTTTTTTAGGACTTGAGGGACCAAAATGATCATTTAATATAATTGGAGGCCATTTTGGTCCTTCATAAAGAGTTAAGGGACCATTTTGCAACTATTCCCTTAGAGTGTGTGTCACTTTGAGTGGCAAAGACAAAAGATTTCAATTTAGTTAGGTGGACCCCAATTATGGTGTGGATTGAGTTATGTTCAAGATAGAAACCCAACAAAAAACTCATAGCTACTAAACAACTGATACAGCCCAACCTAAGAAGTTACAACCTAATTAAAAGAAGCTGTCACCCATTTTTTATTAGATGAGCTATAAAATGTTTTCACTTGTATAGACTGATGAAGTGGTTTAACTAAACAAGTTCAAGACTTAATTGCTTCATAGTGCAAAGCAAATATTGACAATCAATAAGCAATCACAATGTCAAGTAAAAACATTTTAGAGAAGAATTTTAATTTTTCATAAGCTAGTACTTTTATTACCTCTAAAGATATGCCTGAACTTCCAATCAACATCATGAATATCTCGAGCAATCAGCTCTTGAGCTGGTGGCTGTTGAGAGAAATCCTAAAAGAAGCAACCGACAACATTCATCATCTTCACGTCAATCGAACCAAACCTCCTAAGAAAAAGAACAGCATGCATGTAAAAGCGCACCAGAGGAGGAAAAACTTTTTCAGCTGCACGACGAGGAACAGAAAACCCTCCATGAGTGCTTGTATCGCTTGCAGTCAAAGTCTTACAAAAATAATTCATGGGCTGCTTGCTAGGTAGCCCCATCTCAGCTGGAAGGTATGTATCTTTCAGATCCTGCTGCACTAACTTACAAATCTTTCACAAACTGTAAAAACCATGGAAGTATTCGCTCAATATAAAAGTGCAATGGGATTTAAAATTTACCGGATTTAAAGGCTGCAATGTCATCTGTGTGTAGACTTCGTCAGTCTCGGCATCAGCCTGAAATTTTTCACTGCCAGTCAGAACACTAAATACTTCACAGCTTAACAAATTCCAATGAAACAACGAATATGCAAACTTACGTGCATAGTCACATCGTGAAGTTGGCAGATCAATTGAGGTGGCAAGTTCGGATAATTAGGAATATGGCCTTCAACCTCCTTATTAGTGGAAGCCACGACCTTAAGAACAAAGCTAAGATGCTTCAATGAAAGAGATAAGGAACCCTTCAAGCGTAAAAATTAACATTTCAAAGCTCTGACTTTTACCTGCTCGCTGTGGCCCTGTGGAAAGTAGACAACACGGGTTCCGACATTGGGCAGACACACTAGAGGACCAGCACAAGCATGCCAAAGCTCGGAGTTCAAGCATCTCTTGTCCCCCCCTTCCATAATGTCCACGAGACCATAAATATCAAAACAACTATAAACAATAGAGAGAGTGCGAAATAGAGAGAGACAGACAGACAGAGAGAGAGAGAGAGAGAGAGAGAGAGATAGAACCTTCCTCATCCTGCTGGACCAGAACTCCAACCGTCGAGAGCTTCATCGCAGCACTCTAAAAAGCTCCGTAAACACTCAACAAGTAAGAGAAACCTACAGGGCACATATCCAACTTCACCGCGTCGATCCCAAACCCCTAAATACCCTTGCGAGTATAAAAAACTCGCGGAGGAACCTTACCAAATCGACTTCAAAAAAAAATCTCACATTCCTCACTCTTAAGGCTCAAGAAGCCAAATCAACTCCATAATTGAGTAGAAAACAATTTGCGGCCACGGAATCCAAGATATAAACTTTCAAACTCTAGAATTCATAACCAAGTTCCCTGATCAGGAAACCAAGCAGCTCTACCTCTGCCTTCACAGTTCCCTTGTTTCTTGGGCAGCTCGACAAGGAAGCACAATTTCTAGCGAAGTTCGGGCCTTGGAGAGCTCCTCAAAGGGAAACGATATACAGAAGAAGTAACTCGAGGAATAGAAAAGCAGCGACCTCGAAGAGTTGTAAGAACACAAAGCTCAGGCGAATGCTAGCATGGAGAAGCGCGGCAATGAACTAGCTCCAGATCGCCGTGAATGGATATATTGGATGTAATTGGGGCAGACGGTAAAGCCACTGAGAAAAAGAAGAGGACAGCACTAGCCGGAAATATCGGGGATTTCCCGTCTGGGTAAATTATAAGTGAAAATATTAAAATTGTGTGCTAATTCCGTTCGACTGAGAGGCAGAGAAAAAAAGTTGGTAGGAAAATAAGAAAAGCAATATACTTAGCACTAGCAACACACGTGGTGATCCGTGACCAACCATTTTATTTCTTCATAGCTGATCAAAATTTATTATTGTTTAGTCATATTAGTTAGTTTGCTATACTGAAAAAACACTATATTTCGGGAGGGAGCTTGGCCGTTCTTTGTACACCATATGGGAAATCCTAACCTTTCTCTCCCACTCCTGCTCTACAAGAGGCTTGGACTCTTTATTATGGGGCAAATTATTAGGTTCGGTCATTGGACCTATCTCCGCATTCGGACGCCAATAGAAAGCGGACATCTGGCTGAATACAAGTGCAATTTTTTTAATATAATCTTTTTGCTTTATATCTTATCAGCCCGATCGACCCGACCCAGTAACTCGCCGATGATTTGAATTCAGGACTACAAGAATGAAAACTAAGCTTTTTTACTATTCACTCGACATTTTCACTTCTTTGTTACTCTCAGACTTCTACAATACCTTCTTCCCAGCGGTAGACGACGACGTAGGAGTACTTCAGCATTTACAAAAGTTAATGTTGCGCCCTTGTTGGGCTTGAGGTGCGCTTTTGGTGCGTTTATATTATATTTTAAATTTTAGAGTTGTGTTAATTTTATGTATAGCAGTGTTTGTTCAATGTGATCTTAAAATGTTAATTTTTTGGATCTTAAATGAAAGAAACAAATGAGGCAAAACATTTAGGTGCGCTTTAGTTGCGCTTTATCTAATATTCTATTTTTTTCAGATGTCGTATCAAAGGTCAGTTACTTCTTGATGCTATGTTACAACTTTCAGAAAAATTTGTGATGCTTTAGTCTAGATAATTGATGAAGAACTTGAGCAGACTTTAAAGAATTTGAACATTTATCATTTTTTGAAGTTTCCATCATTCCAATAGTGCATACTACTTCTTTTTAAGATTCTAAAATTTTGGAATTATTTTGATGAAGGCTTATTGTGAATGGTCATTTACTTAAATTCACTTCTAATGAGGTTGCTTTGTTGACAGATAAGATTTTGAATAAGGAATTATTGATATTTTTTTTATTTTAAATGTAACATGTACAAAAGTTTTCTCACGGGTATGCCTAATATAGGTGATAATATCGAATGGAGGATTAATCTCCTAACTGGACCTCTATCAACAGAAATAAAAACTGAAATGATAAAATTAGATAAATTGACTGATAATGATACTAAGTTAAAGACATTTATAATGTTTTTGTTATCTAATCTTTTTTTTCCACTAAATAATCATAAAATCCGTAGAAAGCTCACATCTGTAGCAAATAATGTAACTGAGTTCACTTCTATCAATTGGGCTTCATGTATAAGAAATTTTATGGTCGAGAAATTCGATACAATTTCTAACAAGTTTAAAATGCAAAGAACATTGGGTTACATCAATGATTTTTCCCTCTCCTATTGGTTAGTTTCTTATCATACTGATTGTTTTCCTCTCATAAAGCTTTTTAATGTTAATTTATAATATTTTATGTTTGGTATTTTACAAATTTGATTTTTGGAATACTTTTCCTTGAATAAATTATCTGATACAAAATTAAGACCATATTTTTTGAGATGGGAGGGAAACACTGAAATGTTTTATACACAAAAAGTGCTACCAAATTATTTAAATTTTTTTAGGAAAAATGAAGTATTTTTTAAGTCTAAATATTTTATATTTAGAGTTGCACTTAAAGCACAACTATAGCCTATTTAAAGCACAACTATAGCGTATCTATAGCGCATTTTAAGCGCAACTATAGCGCACATAAAGCAAAAATATAGCACAACTATAGCGCACTTAAAAAGAAACTATAGCGCACAATTAGATATTTTCCTTTAATATATTTAAATTTTTTGTAGATGTATCTTGTTGTACAAAATGTTACAAGTGAAGAAGTAGAAAAGTTTAGGGCTGACATTAATGCTATACAAATCCTGGAAAATCGGCCTGGGCATCAACCCCACAAAATTCATTCACCACAATGAAAAAAAAATCACACCACCCCACCTCCCTCTCCTCATTCTCCTCATCAAAAACCACCTTAAAGTTCTCCTCAACCACCTACTCAACCTTCTACACAACCTTTTACTGAACAACCTCTTGTAAAAACTGAAGATTGGTCGACTATTCAGAATAAACATCTAGAAGGATTTCAAAACATGTGCAATAAAATTGAACATAATTTGGGTAGTATAGTTGATCGACTTGAAGACATTATGTAAAAATTTTAAGAAACTGTAGATTCTCTGCAATACAAATTCATTAACTTTCAAATGAAATGTGATTATAAACTTGAAAAAGCTTTTATTTCTACATCTTACTCCAGTATCCAATTAGTTAAAAAAACCCAGAACTATAGTTTTTCCTCCAATACCACCCACAACATCTTTTCCTCCAATTCCACCCACAACAGCTTTTCCTCCAATACCACCCACAACAGATGTTCCTCCAATACCACCCAAAATAGATGTTCTTCCACCACCAGCAGCAACAAAAAATGTTCCTCCACCACCAGCCACAATAGATATTCTTCCACTACCACCAGCAACAACAGATGTTCCTCCACCACTAGCCACAACATATGTTCTTCCACCACCAAAAGCTAATACATATATTATTCAACCACCAATAGAGAGTTCTTATAAGCACCTCTTCCAATACCAATCACAAAAACAAAAAAGAAGAAGAGAAGATAATAAAGAAACTGAAATACCGAATGTATTAATGAAGACCCAAGAAGTTATTTGTTTTGATAATGTAAAAATTCAACCTCGACCTGCACTGCAATATATAGAGTATCCAGAGAAGAATTTCCTAACTGCCCAGCAACAAAGTTTTATGGATGAATGTTTCTAAAAGTTTGGTAAAAAATAAGTTAAGCCATTTACATACCCTTTAAGTGCGTTTTACGTGCGCTTTACATGCGCTATTATTGCGCTTTAAGTGTGCTTTACGTGTGCTTTAAGTGCGTTTTATGTGTGCTTTTAATGTTTTTTTTTTGCGCTATATTTTTTTTGTAGGGATGACGTAATATTTGCATCTATTAACATAAAAATAAAAAGAGCATATATTGATGATCTACTCACAGATCAATGGTTAGGCAACAACCATGTAGATGCTTTTGCTTGTTTGTTATTAGAGAAGAGTAGGGTAATGATAGACAAATTTCAATGCTACTTGTATATTTCTCTATTATACAGAGTAAGTATAATTTTATTTATAACCTATTTTTCACATTACCTTTTTTATATTGCTGACTTATCGCACGTATACAAGGGGTTCAATCAAGATTTTGAAATATTTCTCCAACACATTTATCCAATTTCTGTTAAAGAATGCATTCTTATTATTTAACCCATAAATTTCAGTAAGCATTGGGTAATTATTATAGGCAAGTTGAAAGAAAAAGTCTAGAAATTTTATGATTCCTTATCAAATCCAGAACACAAAGATATATGTCATACAGTTGTAAGTTAAATCTAGATTTTAAGCGTCTTATTTTCTTTTCTCAATATAAACACAAAATAAAATAATAGTTTTATTTATTCAGATAAAATACTTGCATGAAAAACTCAAATGATGCTTTATAAGCGATATAACCAAATGGAATTTACAACTTATTCGTGGAATTCCAACTCAGTCAAACGATTTTGATTGTGGAATATTCATGTGTAAATACATGGAGAAAGTCGTTCAACGAAAGAAAGTTGACTGGACTGCTTATAAAGATTGGCAAAAGTATATGCCAAAATTTAGGGTAGAGTTATCATATTTTCTTTTTCTTACAATAAAAAAATAAAATTATTGTAACAAAATTTTTAAATTTTATCCATGAGTTCTAAATCTATATATTTGATTATGTTAATATATAGTTTTTGTTTGTTTTGTAACTTTTTATACATTTAAAAATTAAAAGAGTTATAAATTTAAAAGTTTTTGTTTGTACGAATCAAAAGTGCATCTAAAGCGCAACTAAAGCACACCCAAAGCGCATCAAAAGCGCACCCAAAGCATACCCAAAGCGCACCCAAAGCTCACCCAAAGCGCACCCAAAGCGCATCCAAAGTGCATCCAAAGTGCATGCAAAGCGCATCCAAAGCGCAACTCAATCACATTTATAGTGCATCTGAAGTACATTTATAACACATCCGAAGCTCAACTAAAGCTCACCTACAAAGTATTTTAAATTACAAGTAATCAATAAATGATTCTTATAATAAATATTACCAATAAAAAATCTTTATTTAGATTCAATACATGTTACAATAAATAATCATAATTTTTTAATAAATATTATTACAATGCAAATTCATTAAATTCCAACTCTGAAGCAATGAAATCCATCATCAATTTGGTGTATTCAGTACCATGTTGGCTTATTGATTGGCTGGTTATATATTCCTCACTGAAACATTCATACATGCTTGAAAAGTTCATATGTGTTGAAGAAGGATCATCCATTATTTTTTCTCCCACCAAAGATTTCTTATCTGTTTGAAACTATAGCTTTAGTATTAGATAAGGAATTATATAATTAACATGTTATTTAAAACTTAATCTTAGTCCGCTTCTTCTTTTTTCAATGGATTTTTAGTCTTATATTTGATATGCCTTTAGGTATATGTTTTAGAGGATCTTTCAAATTTGCACTTCCACCTCTAGATCTTGCAACATCGTTCTGATTTTTTTTTCTTGCCACCAGGAATTAAGTATAAGTTTTGATCCATGTCTTTTATTGAGAAAAAAATATACTCCTCAGCCTCCTCATTCCCTTGAACTTCTATGCTCATTTGATATGCAAATCTCCTTACTTGATTTCTAAATATGAATCCCCTACCATTTTCAAAGTTATTACTTCTTTAAGAATTAATCAATTTACCTGAATAAAAATCTTGTCGAGCCCTTGCTGACCAACACAGTAGTATGTACTTCTCATGAAATTTAGTCATATCCAACTATTTAAAAACCTTCAAATAGTGAGAATGCAATAATCCCATGGTATCATACTTCCTATAGCTGTATTGAATTTTACCTTATGTTGCATCAAAGTCAACCACCTAAGGATGATGTTGGTTCTTTTTCTCTATGTGGTTGACTAAAAACTTTGAAAAATCAGTCGAGACAAAGTCTATACTCATTTCTCCCATAGGTTGTATAAATTCTTCCTCAAAAAATGAATATAATTTTCTTGAGTAAAATCGAATAGCTTGTTTTAATATTGAGCTATTCTTTATCACAGGAACAATTTCAGACTGACTGTATTTGTACTCCTCATCCTGCTCATTTTGCCGACAATTCATCAATACCTTTTCCAACCCAAGAGAGCAATCAGTTAATGAACTTATTGGCTTCAAAATTCCATGACACACATTATTAGTACACTCACTATGCTGCGTTGATAAAATGCCCATGCTAAAACAATCCTTGTTGAATGATGTTGACCACTTTCTCCTTATCTTATAAAGATCCTGCAACCATTCATGGCTATGAAGATTCCCTTGATCATTTCATCTCATGCCTCCTCAAGCACTTCCTCAGAATCACATCACCTCATACACTTATAGAAGAGTCCTTTAACTTTATTATTGCTATTAAAGATAGAAACTTTTGATGGAACATTTTTAAAGATGTGACATTGGCATAATCTATGATGAATTTGAGGTAATGCATCTTCTATGGCCCTGGCCATAGTTTGGTCATGATCAATGAATATTGTTGTTAGATATTTATTATTCATTATTCATATAAATGTTTTAAACAACCATGTAAAACTTTCAACTATTTTTTCTAACAAAAAAGCAACCCTTGATAAAATATTCTGCCAATGATTATTAACACCAACAAATGGTGCACATATAAAATTATACTTGTTGAGCCTGTAGCTAGTATCAAAAATCAAGACATTCATAATCTATCTTGCCTTTGCCATCAACCCAAAAAAATTTAATAATCATATTGAACATCCCATGCAAACATGTGGTCCTCAACTTGTTGATCTTTAAATAATTGAATCACTCAAAGAATTAGTGTCACTAATTTCAATCCTTGCTCTTTTCTCCTTTTGAATAAAATTATAGGCATCCCTCTTAGAGAATCCAATATTCTCACATCCTCCAACTTCCTTTGCAAGGTAGACATATGCATCAACTGTTCTAATCCATGCATCTATCATTGATTTTAGGATGGAAGCTTTTTCCTCAACAACATTCCTACATTATCTCAGAAGGTGTCGGTCGGCTGGGCTAGCCAATTCATGGTTTTGGGATTCAATAAATCTTTTGACATGCTAGTAACCATCGTCTTCATAAACTATAAACCTCACCATGGATGGATAATCGGTTCTAACATCTAGTTTAGTAAATCTCTTTCTTGAATTAAGATCAATACTTTTCTTGAAACTAGCTTTTGAACAGACAAAGTCCTTGGATTTTATTTTCCGAGAATTTGTCCAAAAACTGTGATGATCCTTCTGGACGCTAAAGTCATTATCATGGGCATAAGTATAAAAACATTCATATGATTCTCTCTAATCTTTATAAATAGTCTAAAATAATAAAAAAAAAATTAAAAAGCACAACTAAAGTACAGGTAAAGCACTGGTAAAGCGCTGGTAAAGCACAGGTAAAGCGCTGGTAAAGCATAGGAAAAATGCATATAAAGTGTAGGTAAAGCGCATGTAAAGCATAGGTAAAGCGTAGGTAAAGCGTAGGTAAAGCGCAGGTAAATCATAGGTAAAGCTCAAGATTTGTTCATCATGTTTTCTTTATCAATTCTTAAAACAATGATGTCCTTCTTCCTAAAAATAATAATGAAAGCTAAATAACAACATATAAGAGTTTTTTTTTTACTTTTCCACCCAAAAAATTTTGTTCTTCTTCCTAAAAACATTAATGGGAGCTAAACAACAACATATAAGATCCTAAGCCTCTAATGCGCTGAAACCTATACCCTTTTTCTACACAGCACTGCTTTGTTTACAACTTTCTAACTCATTTTTCCATAATACAACTTACGATGAGATTGAAACTTTCCGATATGTTAAAACCTGAGGAATTTCCAGCTAAGTTAGCTTCCGATTCATGTACCCCTTCCGATTCATGCATCCCTTCTGATTCATGCACCCCCCCCCCCCCCCCCCCCCCCCCCTTCCACCTCTCTCTTCCGTGAGCATTCCATCTCTTTTCTATAATTTTCTAGCTCGATTTTTCTTCCAAAGCAATAAACATTTAGATCTTTAGCGGCTTTCTAAAATAGTGACAATGTTTAAAATAAAAATAAAATGGACTGGGTCGGGTCGATTGGGCTGAAATATATTAAAAAAATTGCGCTTGTGTTAAGCAGATGTCTGCTTTCTATTGACGTCCGAACGTGGAGATAGGTCCGGTGAATGGACCTAATAATTTGCCTTATTATGGAGTCTAATGATGCCATTTCTATTTTGAATTTTTCTCCTAGTCTCTCGACCTCATTCCCCCAAATATCCCAACCCTAGATTTGATGTTGGTCACTCCGTGCTTCTCTGAAAGTCCCTCCTTTCCTCACAGAATACTTCTACGATGGATTTTAACCTAAGCTTCATTCCCCCTTTGGACCATATTGTTCCTTCGGATCTTGATGTTCTTTTTTTGCCCAAATAAATATCCATGGGTGCGAAGGAATGGAATATCTTTTTGGTGAGTTACTCCATTGGTAAGCGGCCTTACTATGAGGCCCTTCTTTCTGTCATGAAAAGAGTTTGGTTGCTCAAAGGTAATCTAACCCTTATTCCACTTTCGGCAGGATTTTTTCTTCTGCTGAGGATTACAAAATGGTTTGGTCTAAAGGAATGTGATTTCTTCTTGGAAAATAATTTATTTTATAGAGATGGTTCCCTCTCTTTACTAAAAAATGTGAATAATTTAACTATATCACACGACCTACCGCTTGCATGTTGGAAACCTAAAGGGATTTCTATGATTGCTAGCATTATAGGTATTCCGTTGGTGTTGATCACCTCATAGTTGAGAAGTAGCATCTTAATTTTGCTAGAATTTGTGTTCAGGTCCATAGAAAGTCCAAGTTGTTTGATGAAATTGTTATTTATGTGGTTGGTAAAATCCCTCTACCTAAAGGTTCAGTATGACTAGAAGCTATCCCCATGTGATTTATGTGGTTCATTTTCTCATGTAACTAATTTTTTCCCCAAGAATCCTACTCCTATTCTTGAAATTATCCTTTATTGTGGTAAAAGCATTAGTAGACAACCTAGGAGATTTAAAGATAAATCTAAAGCCTATGAAGATATTATTATTAATCTCCCATCTGTTTTAGATAAATATGATGAGCTGATGGGCACCCCTTTTGTTTTGTTAAATGTTTGTCAGGTTAATCAAATTTTTGGCCTTATGCAGGATCATATCACAGACCCCCCGCCCTCCATCTCAGAGCTAGTTAATATGAATGTTAATTCTCTTGTAAATTCATTACGCAATAAAGACTCGGCCTCCTCTTCCTCTAATGTCCTTGGTGTTATTCCTAATCTAAATGCCCCCTTGGGAGATCCTCTCTCTTGCTCTATTAACCCTATTTCTATTAATGTTGGGGAAGCTGCTTAGATACACACTTCAAATAAATTTGACTTGAGGGATTGACGGCCAAAGAAAGAGAGAGAAGCTCCACAATTCAAGGAAGGATTTGGAAAGAGAGTTTGAAGATATCGGGTGCATAGATTGGAGATGGTAGAAGGTGACCGGTCATCTATGGATGACCGGAACAACAAATCCATTTTATCTACCGCTAGTCTAATTATGTTGGATTCAAAAGGTAGATTCTCCTTCAAACGCATCTCACCTCACAATCTTCGTGTTTTAGAATCTCCTCTAGTTATCAAAGAGGGAGGTTTGGGGGCTAAACATAAGCCAATGCCGGATTCAAGTTAAAGGAAAGAGGTAATTTTGACTTCCTTCAAGTTACCTAAATCTCCTCCACCAGTTTCTTTGTTTGGAGAAAATGACAAAGAAGCTTTTTATTCAAGGAGTAGTTTTGTTGATATTTTGAAGAATGGCAAAAAGATTGACAAGGCTAATGTCAATATCAATAATCCTATTATTTCTTCAAATATATATAATTCTAATGTGTGGATTAAAAAAACCACACATTAAAATTAATTGGAATAAAAATCTTGATGAGGTTGAAGATTTAAACATTGTTAAATTGGATATGGATATGGAAAAATCCAATATTCAAGTTTTAAGTAAATCTTTGGTTGTTAAAATTCTTGGGAAAGATTTACCCTTCTCTAAATGTGCCATCGAGTTAAGAAAACAATGGAAGAAATATGGAGGATTCCATTTAACCATTCTTGGATTAGATTGGTTACTTTGTTCTTTTCATACTCATGAAGCCATGGAAGAAGTCCTTAATGGAGGTCCATGGTTTGTTGGGGGTTTTGCTATTGGGTTAGACAAATGGTCTCCTAACTTTAATCCTAATTCATTGGAAGGTGTATCATCTCCAATCTAGGTTCGTCTTCCTCATTTACCCCTTCACTGCTGGGATGAATCCAATATCACTAGAATTGTCTCTAGAATTGGGACTCCATTACTTTTAGATGGTTATATGTTTAGTTGGGGAAGAAGAGAATTTGCTAGAGCCTGCATTAGAGTTAATTTGAACTCTAAACTCCCTTCTGGAATATGTGTTGAAGGGTTGCATGGAAGATTTCAAAAGTTTGAATACGAAAATCTTTCATCGCTTTGTTTTAAATGTGGGAGAATAGGGCATATTGATTTAGTTTGTCCTAATGTTGGAGAAATCCCTTCCATCTCAAATCATAATGATAATCTTTATGGTCCTTGGATGCAAGTCAAATTCAAAAACAAGAAGAAACCAGTGAGAAATCAATTGAAATCCAAGATTTTTTCTGTAGTAGAAAAATCTGGAATGGGTTGTAGAAGTGAAGATATTGTTCTTGCTGAAACAGAAGAAATTATACAAAATTTGGTAGATGAAAACATGCTCAAACTGATGTCCGAACCAGTGGAAGCTGCAGATCAAATTGAAGAAGATGCTGGATTCAAGGAAGGAGATGAAGAAGCGGTTAACCATAATTTGAAATTCAACATGAACCAACTTGGTTCTCGGGATTTTGATTCTAACCCATTTAAAGATTTGGCTGATATGGACAATATGGATAATGGTTTGTTAGTAAAACCCAATGAGATGGAAATTGAAATTGCTGAAAATTTGAACATTCAGAATTCTAATTTTGAAAGTTCAAAAAATCTGGTTCCTGAAATTTTGGAGGATGAATAGATCTCGGGGTTGACTCCTACAATGGCTACCGAATCTCCTCATGATGCTGTATTAGTGGGAGCTGATACAGATTTCTCTCCAACAAACACATGTTTAAATTTTAAAAATCCACATACTTTGGAGGCTGTTAAGAAGGAAGTTAAAATTTCAGGTTTGAAGGCTACCGAATCTCCTTTTGATGCTGAATTTTTGGGATCTCACAAAACAGATTTTGAAACCTCAACAACTTTGGCGGCTGATGCTAGTGTAAATGGTAATTACACTCATACTACAATCAATGATTCTTCTTCTCCTCCATCAGCTATTAGCTTGAATTTCAAAAAAACTATTCTTGAAAAAGATAAAAACTTTTTTAAGAAGAATGTTTCCCCCAGTTCAAAGCATGTTTTATTCAAAGAACTCCAAGCATTAGGAACAGTTAAAGAACTACCGAGAAGGAAGATGGCTGAACACAAAGAGAAGAACGGTTTGAAAGGTTCTTCTTCCCTTTTATCTCACTAATATGAAGAAGGATTCTCCCCTGGATAGCAACAAAATAGAGATATTTTTGAAGATAGAGCATTTGATCCTAAAGTTTGGCATAGTTATACCAAAATTTTGGAATTTATTATTGAACTGTTATTTTATTTTTAGCTTTCATTTCCTTTTCCTTAGTTTAATTTGTTATTTTAAACTTTGCCTAAATGTTTATGAAAACTTTACTAATTCTTATTCTCTAACTGGATGGGAACTCTGGGATACTAATAAACCCTCGGGTTGTCTTAAATTTTGGTATCCCCTGCATCTCAACAATTTCAAAATAGTAGATAGTGGATTTCATTACATTTATAATAAGTTTAAATTAACAAATTTATTTTTAATAAGGTCTGTTTTTCTTGTTGAAAAAAAAGGATCATTAGCTTCTTTTGCCTAGTTTGTATTAGATTTTCTTCTTTTTCATTTTAATGCAATTTATGCATTTTCTCAAAAAATAAATAAATTTGACTTACTAATAATGAAGAGTGTTCTATGGTGGTCTTTGTTCATGTTCTTACCCCCCGAGTTCATGGGACCACTACACAATATCTGAAGGAGCCAAAAAAATGCTCAAACATAATTCTAAAACTTAATGATTAAGCCCAATTTTTTTTGTGTAAAATGTTGATGGTTTTAATAGTTTGAAAAGTGTTTTAGCATATAGAAGACTTGACTGCGTTCATAAACCTAATTTACATTATAATTTAGAAGCAAAAATTTATAATGACTTTGGATGATCCTTGGTTTATGGCCTCTTATCGTGCCTTTGAGTTGGAGAATAGCTGCAGTAACTTTGATTTTAGCTCTTCTGGTCATATTTAGGTTAAATGGAATGCTTCCAATGTTAATTGTATACATATTTTCATGGATAATCCTTGGTTTATAGCCTCTTATCGTGTCTTTGAGTTGGAGAATAGCTGCAGTAACTTTGATTTTAGCTCTTCTGGTCGTATTTAGGTTAAATGGAATGCTTCCAATGTTAATTGTATACATATTTTTATGGATAATCAATTCATTCATGCTAAAATTTGGTATAACAATTGCTTCTTTTTTTTCAATTATTTGACTCTCGTTTATGCTTCTAACTCATCTTTTGAGAGGGACTCTTTATGACAGTAGCGTATTAGTATTGGTGGTTGTATTTCATAGCCTTGGGCTGTGTTGGGTGACTTTAATTGCTATAGGATTTCTAACAAAAAAGCTAATGGATATGCCTTTGCTGTAAATAAAATGTGGTTGTTTATTTTAACATGATTTTTGTCAATGGGTTACATGATTTAGCTTCCTCTATTTTATTTTATGCCTGTTACAATCATAGGGTTAACAACCATATCTATAATAATCTTAATAAGGTGTTGGCTAATGAGCTTTAACTTGAGAAGTTTCCATTGTCATTTTATAAGACTGATGCTCCTTTATGTTTTAATCATTCTCCACTGATTTTCTATTTTAATATTTTTTTACCTTTTAGCCATCGATTTATGTTCAAAAATATATGGCTTAAGCATCATGAATATTGGAATGTTATCTCTTATGTCTCTATGTAGTTTAATGAGGATCTTTTCTATATTTGGTATTTAATTCTTAATAATCTCAAAAGGTGTGTTAAAAATATGAAATGGCTTCCTCTCTTTTGCTTGCTTCTAAGGTCTCTGACCTTCAGTTGTAACATAAATGTTGTCTTGTTATACTTAATGAAAATCATATCTCTCCTTCTCTTAATTCTTAATTAAGATTTATTAAAAATAATCTTACCTTTCAGCATGATTGCTTGGCCTCTTGAGTCATTCAAAAGGTCAAGGCTAAGTGGCTTCTCTAAGGTTAAGATGATATGAAAGTTCTCTTTATCATGATTAGGGATAGACATAACTAAAATGTTATTAAAAGCATTACGACTGGAGAAGGGATTTTCCCTTCTCCTAATGATATTAGCCATGCATTAATTAAAAAAATTTCTAATACGTTCAATTCCAGTTCTCACCTTTTTAGCCTCCCTCCTAATCTTCCTTATAGCACCTCCATTCCTTCTCATATAATCCCTGCTCTGGTTTCTCCTACTTTTGATGAGGAGATTGAGAAAGCGGTATTATCCAGCCCTAATTCTTCTATTCTTAGCCCTGATGGTTTCACCTTTAAGTTTTATAAAATGTCGTGGCTAATTATTGGCAATAAGGTTTGCAAGACTAACCTATTCTTTTTACATACTTCCTTCCTTCCTAAAAAATTTAAGGCCTCTAT